AAACGAAAGATCTGACTAGCCTACTTCATCTTTAAAGAAATTAAATCTATAATCAGACCCTTTCTACAATGAAAACCCTAGGTCTTGATAACTTGACTGACACACTCTAACAAATAGTTAAGGTAGAAATAAGGCTGGTATCACCCTAATGCTAAAATGACAAAGACATTACAGGAAAAGAAAACTTCATGAAAGAGGAAAAAATTTCAAAAAAAAAAATTTGTAAATCTGATTTATCGATATACAAAAAGAATAATGCATTATAATCAAGTTAGATTTATTCTGGGAATGCAAGATTGATACATCACTTAAAATTAGTCTTTTAAATTCATCACAATTAGAGAAACAAGGAGAAAAACATTGGTCATTTCAGTAGATGCAGGAAAAGCATTTGGAAAAATTCAGTATTCATGGCTTGAAAGAAATTCTCAGAAAACTTGGAAACTTCATAAATCTCTTCTATAAAAAACCTGCCAGGTAATGACATAACTAATGGTGAAAGACTGAATGATTGAGAACAGGCAACGATGTCTGCTCTTGCTACTTCTGTTTAGCATTGAACTGAGCTTCTAGCCATGCAGTAAGGGGAAAAAAGAATTAAAAGGCACACAGAGTGGAAGAGAATAGATAGAACCATCTTTATTCACAGATGGCATTGTTAATGTATAGGAAATCTTAAAGGATCTACAAAAAGTTATAGGATCTTAGAAGCAAATTTAGCAAAGTAGTAGGATGCAAAATTGAAATAAAAGAGTAAATATGTGTATAAAAGAGTACAGTGGGCAAGGGAAGTCTTTTCAACAAATATGAACTTCAATTTCACACCATACACAGAAATTAATTTGAGGTGTCTCATAGACCTAATTATAAAGCCAACACTATAAAGTTTCTAGAAATCCTAGAAACTTTAAAGAACATGGGGGCACCTTGTCATTACAGTTTGGGGTTGGGCACCAATTTCTTGGGTCATAGAATAACCAAGAAAAAAATAAGTTGAGCTTATTTGCTAAAAGTATTGCTCATCAGAAGACACTATTAAGGAAATGAAAAAAG